AGCTATTTTTATGCAGAGCTTCCATGATATCTAGTAATTTTCTTAAGAGTTCCTTTGCTGTGAAGTGATAGAAAATAGCTAGTGATAGATAGCTGCTATAAGTAATAATATAGATAAATGGGGAGATATAAAATCTCCCAAACTGGGAAATGACATCTTTAGGGAGCTATGCCCATAATCTTCCTTTTCAGCTAGGCCTTCCTCTTTGAATTGATTAATAATGTTTAAATATTTTTATCAACTACGTATATTTGATCTTTTATTTTTAGTTCCTTGGAAATTGCTTAATACAAATTCATTTCATTATAAAAAGTAACAAAATAGTTGTTTATATTAACAGTACTATTACTTATACTAATAACTATTAATATTTGTTGATCAACAAAATTGTCCAACAACAGGTCTCTGTAAGGCATCCACATCCAAGATTAATGCTGTGATTTCATCATGGATTTATTCAAATGTTGTAGTTTATTTATTTTCTGTGGACATGTTTATAAACATCTGCTCTAGATCACTGGCTTTTTTTCTCCACAATTGATAACAAATGCAAAACATATGTGGAAAAATGGTTACTAAGGAGTAACAGTAAAACAAAGATTCTTTACAGAAGGGCACATATTCTTGAAGATTTATTTATTTATTTTTATTTATTTATTTACTTATTTAAATTGATTATCTGTATACTCCAAAGGACTTTCAACAAGATGTTCAATAGTTGTAAGGAGTTCCCAGAGAACATTCTAACTAGGAATTAATAGGATTTTCATATATTGCCTATACGAGCTAGGATATGGGTGTCAATCTCGTGGTGTCACATTGCTGTCACATGACATTTCACTTCATGGACATTTTCCCCATTCATGGAGTTGGGGTGGGTGTGGCCTGTGAGTGATGCAACCGGCTCGCAGGCCACCAGTTTGACAGCCCTGATCTAGGAGCTTCCTTGAAGTTATACAATTGTAAATGTCTGAGGATTTCCTTTGACTTTTGGACACATTTTAGACACTCAGCAGAATCCAACTAAACTCTATCTCTATTGTCTCACTAGGCTTTGTGTATGCAAGGGAAAAGAGGGACTTTAATTATGATGGAAGCAGCCAATATACAAAAGGCCACACGTTCTTTAAGCTGTTTTGAATTAGGAAGGTACATGTATGCATATTGAAAATACACAGAAGTACAAAATAGCTGTGATTCCAAGTTAAAAAAAAAACCTACATTAATCCCATAAATCAAACAGACTGGTTTTATATTGGCATGCTGCCATTGTGGTTGGTAAGACATGGTTACATCTAAACATAAATCTAGGCAATTGTAGCTAATTAAAATGGCTAACTCAACCATGGCTCAGGAAATAAACTCAACTAGTAGGTAAGTCAAATTATGACTTCATACATCTTTTCCTTTTGCTTCTTGCTAATGAATAAGGCAAAAATATCAATGATGCCATACTTACTGTTACCTTAGTATTAGTAAAAGAATGCAGAAATTTGAGTTATGAATTCTATGGTTTCATTTGGATTCTCTGAGATAAAAAAGAAATGAAAGCTAGTTAATTCAGTTATAGCCCAGTTCCTTTCTCTATTAAAGTGGTAATCTGCTAGGTGTTGCTAAATACAGCTTCTAAATTCTAAAGTTTTGTGTTATGTTATATGCAAAGGTCTGCCTATTGGTTCACTAACAAAGTGATATACTTTAGAGAAGCAGTTAATTTCAGAATCCTGGAACAGAAATATATATCCTAGCCCCATACTATAGAATTATAAAATGGACTCTGAAAACTTTATCAAAGTTTCACCAAGAACAAAATGAGTGTGTAGGCAAAGCATTACTATTATTGCAGCATAAACAAGTATGACTATCAAAATAATCTAAATCCAAGCAGTAGGATTTGTTGTATACTGTTAAACTTTACTTATCCATCTTTCGTAGTTTTATGCATTATGTAACAAAACTTTATTGGTAGAGTGGTATTTGGAGTGAAGAAGCAATGCAAATACTTGTACAGTATTGCGTTTCCATGGTTTGTTATGTTTCCACTTACAACTCTACTTGCATGAGATTTTGACACCCATAGCACAAAGCACAGTGGTCTGGTACAGGAACCATGTTAAGTCACAGTGTGTCTTAACCATGATTAAAATAAGCACAGTAGCTGAATTCAGACTTTGCATTAAGCCCAAGCCAAGCAAACTACACTTCTGATTTAGAAAAATGGAATCTGCCCTAATTCCTAAGGTGTTTCAGAAGACTCTTGAACTCATACCAAATAACGCATTCACCCAGACCTGAAGTTCAGCCATCTCTGTTGTATACAAGTGGCAGTTTTAAGGTATGTAAACTTTAACTCCCTGAATGTCTTGACATCTTGAACTTAACCAGGTTGGAAAATTCTGCTGCAGATGTTTCTCCAGAAAACCTTTTCCAATGACATGCAACTCTTCTTTGGCTAAAGAAAATAAGCAGATCTCTCCCCCACCCTTTGTTGACACTTTCCCTGTCATCCTTCCATGTGCTAGCATCCTGGGGTCTGCCAAAAATCCTACGTCAGGAGATGGGTATCTCCTTTGCTGACATTTTATCAGCATCTGGTCGCACAGATTTCAGGTTGTGGGTAAAACTCTTACTCTTTTTTCCCTGAAATCCAGTTTCAACTTAACCACTGTATGCATCCAAGGAAGTCCGTTACAACATACAAAAGTGTATACTTTTTAATAAAATAGAATAGATCTGGAAGGGACCTTGGAGATCTTCTAGCCCAGCCCCCTGCTCAAGCAGGAGAACTATACCATCTCAGACAAGTAGACCTCCAGTGATGGAGCTCCCACGATTTCTGAAGGCAAGCTGTCCCACTGGTTAATTGTCCTTCCCTGTAAGTTTCTTCTTAATTCCAGGTTGCTTTTCTCTTGATCATTTCCAACCATTGTTTCGTGTCTTGCCTTCTGGTGCTTTGGACAATAATTTGACCCCCTTTTCTTTGTGTCAGCCCCTCAAATACTGGAATACTGCTATCATGTTAATACCCCTAATTCTTCTTTTCTTTAGACTGGCCAAACTCAAATCCTGCAGAGATAAAAGAACTCAAGAATCTGCCTAATTTTTGCTGCTGTAGAGCAGTGTTTGTCAACTTCAGTCATGCTGGCTAGGGAATTCTGGGAATTGAAATCCAGCCAACCTAAAGTGGCTCAGATTGATAAACATACTGCTCTAGACCAACACAGCTCCCCCTCCCAACAACCCATTCGGGCAGGCACGGAGACATGGGATGCTCATCACCAAAAGATTAATGGACCTGGAAAGAAATGAGGAGAGTATTGTGCAAATCTAACCTCTGAGGATTGGAAATGAATTGGTTGGGATGTGTTGGAATGAATATCCCAGGTCCACGTCCAAGCCGGGAGAAAGGCATTGGAAATAAAATGGAGGTTGGATGATTGGAAAGAAAGATTCCCTTTATTGATGAAGCAGAACCACCAACCACATGCGATTCTGGGACAACTGACAAAATGGAGTTTAGAGTGGGTGGGTTTTATATTGTAGGAAGTTAGCACCCACCTCTCTCCTAGGAAAATGAAATATCCTAGGAAATATTAAAAAGGCAGAATATTTCCCCTAGAGAAGCAGAAACCCAACTCAGAGGCAGAAACTCAGCCCCCCACCTTTGCTAATGGACCATTATTCTGGCCTGGGCCAGACTATTTTACATAACAAAGATCTACTCCAGGTAGAGCTATAATAGGAATTGCCCAAAGCCCTTTCATTACATCAGCATCATCCAGCAAGGCTCAGACAAGCCTGGAACTCAGGACAGCCTACAGAGTTGCCCCTGCATGGCTCCATGGGAGTCTGACAACCAATGAGAATACCAGCTCAAATTCAAATCCCAACAGAGGGCATAAAACCAAGGAACTCTCAGCATCTCTGCCCTTTTTTCCCTTCTTTTCCTTCACCCAATATCTTGAAGCACGTGGTCTTCCTTTCCACTTTGGAGCCCCAAGCCATGTGGTCCTGTCCACCATAAAACCATCTTTCCAAACAGCCTCCGTGTTTCCAGTGTCTTTTTCCCCACTTGGAACTGAACCCAGGAGAATTCTTCCGACAATACCTTCTGGATTCCTATGGAGTCATACAGAAGTCACAGCTTGCTCTGGAGAAAGAGCAAATGGGGAAATGCAAATCCTAGGCGTTTGAGCTAGTTCTGTCAACCTTAGGCTTGATTGTGTTGCTCATTGCTTCACTTATGTTTCTGCCTGACCCAGTCTTTCTAGCATTTCTACACGCTGGCCTTCTCAATTTCTGCCTGGGGCAGGGAAACTGGGGTTGGATTTTCCTCCCCACGCCCATTTCTCCTTTAGAGGAAATATTCTATACTGCCTTTTCACTACTCCCCAAAATATTTCATTCTTCTGGAGGCGGCGGGGTGTGTGTGTGTGTGTGTGTCAGGTCTTCCCACAGATGCAATGCGAACCGAAGCAGGTGAGCAACCCCAACATGCCCCTTTCTTGAAGGAAGATGAGTCGTCGTTGCTGCTTCTGACCCAACACCTCCCAGCGGAGCCCGGCTATACCGAGACCCACTGATAGGTAGCAACACAAGCGAAACACCTCCGCCTCTGCTCGACCGGAGCGAACGATTCCTCCGGCCCGTTTCGCAACAACGCCTAACCTCTTTCTTTCCCGCCCTCCGCAATCCCAGCCAATCAGATCGCGTTCTCTAGCTGCCGGCACGGGGTGGAAGTCTGTGGGCGGGGCTCTAGCGGGATCACGTGAGCCGATCGTTCGGCGACGGGAGGGGGAGGCGGGCAAGATGGCGAAAGTCTCGGAGATGTACGACGTGACTTGGGAAGGTAAACCGGCAGCTGTGGAGCGGAGGCAGGGGAAAGCAACAGACTTAAGGGCTGGGGTGCTTCCGACGTGTCTTTGGTTGCGTGAGGGAGTTGTTCGCAGCTCCGGAGGTGCGACTGAGGGGGAGGCTTGTAGTCGCCGCTAGGAAGCCCCGAAAGCGTCTCCGTCGCTTTGCTCCTCTCGAGGGAGAAAAAAAATAGTGCGCTGGGAAGCTTTTCCTATGTGCAATTCTCAAAGATAACTTACGCATAATCCGGAGTAATTAACCCCGTAATTACCTACGCATCTTGTCATTTGCGTAGTGTGTCCAAAGGTATATATAAAACCCTTCACACTTCTGTTTAGAGGAGAAAGGATGGTGGTGGAGGAGTCTAATCCACTGGGAAGTTAGGTTATAAAATAACAATCCCTAATTTGATCCTCTCCGGAGACCCTTGGCGACTCCCATCCCACGAATTCAGATCCAAGGGGAAGAAATTACATACTGAGGGACTTGCAAGTGTAAAGGTGAAGTATTTTTCTCACCCTCCAGGTTTCTTTTCAATGCTGTCGCCTTCTAGAAAGCTGCTGTCAAGTTTTTCATGGTTCCTTGAGTGACAGACACCTGCTTGGCTTGGCACATTGGTTCAAACTACACTGTTGCTTAGTATGATGTGTAAACCAAGCCTTTTACGAATCAAAGTTAATTGTAAAAATGTAGTACTAATCAAAAGTCTGTTCCATGATCCATCGTCCCTTATAATATGTAGTGGATTTTTTTTTTAACAGAGTCTGTCTGCTTTCAGTTACTGCATAAGCAGTAATAAGATAATAAAGTGTGGTCTTGAGTGTGTAAAATTAAAGTGCAGGGAATGAATGCTAAAGAGGATAGGGTCTGCCTGTCTTTTTTTCTTCTTTATATATTAATATGCATACTGAAGCTCATGAAAATTTGAAATGATGGAAATGTTGATATCCTTTCACTTGCCAAGTTTTCAGAACAACTACTTTGTGAAGTATGAATGTAGGCAGGTTATTCAAATAATATTCAAACTTAGGCCTTGAATCTTATGCTTTGGGATACAAACAATACTGATTTTTATTTATTCAGTAGTCTGGATATATACAGAACTGAACATAGGCCTGCAGACTTGAGATGGGTTGATGTTTTGGCACTTCTGAATTCAGGAGAGTTAATAAGTGAACTTATTTATTATAGATGTATTGATTCTAAGCTACTTAGCCTCTAAGTGAAAAAAATAGTTTCAGTTCCTATTCTCTGTAAAACAATTCTACACCACTCATAATGGAAATGCCGCAGCACTTACTAAAGAAACAGTTGACTTTCATATTTCTCCAAAGAGTCCATGGTAGCACCTGTTATCTTTGCAACAGCTCTTTGAGGTCAGTTAAATGAAAATGATTAAATGCAATTTGCATAATTGTGCCCTGCAAGACAGTGGAAGACATTGATAGGAAAACACTTTTGTCTATTTATGTGGAAGTAAACCATGTTTATCCTCTAAAAATATGTGACATCGTAGCTTTAGGCTCAAGCCTTCCATTCTTCTGAAGTGGGTAAAATGAGGACCCAAATTGTTGGGGGGAATATGCTGACTCATACCGCTTTACAGCCCCCTCTTAAGCTGTTTACAAAGTCTAAGTGCTTATTGCTATTTAGTGTATTTATTTTGTCTTTTTATTGTAATTTTGGGCTTGCTTTGGCTTAGGATCATGAATTATGAGAGTTTGTTCTGCGATAATTAATAAAAATAGGTGCAGTAGATAGGTGTTTTAACTGTAATTATTAAGTTAAATTTCATTATTATATTAAACCAGATTGGTCTGTCAGGTTAGAAACCAGGAGACTGGGTTCTAATCCTGCCTTTGGAATGAAAGTTGGGTGGGTGACTTTGGGCCAGTCACTGTCTCTCTTAACCTCACTTTTTTCACAGGTTTGCTGTTGTGAGGAAAAGAGAAAGAGGAAGGAATATTAGGCATATTCACTGTCTTGGGTTATATGTAAAAATAATGCAGACAGGATAAAACAAATTTGATATGAGCTAATAATTTTGAGCTGATCACAAATTAACAAGATTGTTCTACTTTATATTTGTAATGGTATGTGGGAATAACCTTGAAGGATGAAGGGAAGAGATGAGATGCTGCCCTGAGAGTAAGCAGTGGGAGCCTGCATCTGAATAATTTGCAAAGAAAGATAATAATAGTAATAATCTGCCCTTGTATCAGGAGGTAAAAAGAGACAGTGTGAGATTTGTATTTTCAGACTTGCAAGATTGTGTTAATGTAGCCTTACAATAATGTAAAATTAGCTCATGTGGTTGTGTTTCTTGTCAGGTCTGCTTGAGGTATATTCTATTCCGCTTATTCAATTTCTTATGTTTTCTTCAAGTAATAAAGCAAATTTGAATATTTGTCAGATCCATTCATCTGAGTTAGGGATGTGTAAATATTATTTTAAGATTTCTATATCTTTTATGATTTGTATAATATATATTCCTATAGTTATATATTTGTATATATTAGAGCTGGTTGATATAATGGTTAAGGCATCAGGCTAGAAACCAGGAGACTGTTTCTAGCCCGCCTTAGCCATAAAAGCCAGGTGGGTTATTTTAGGCTAGTGACTTTCTCTTAGCCCCAGGAAGGAGATAAAGATAAATCATTTCTGAAGAAGTTTGCCAAAAAAAAAATCTTAGGGACTTATCCAAGCAGTCTCCAAAAATCAGACACAATTGAACAGGGGAAAAATGTGTGTGTGTGTGTGCACATATACATGTGTGTGCATGCACAAGTATAGGTATTGTGAAGCTCAGGAAAATTCAAAATCAGTATAAAGGTTTATTGCAAGCTCATGCTATCTACAAAAATCTGAACTACTAACAGTCAAAGCAAATAGGCAGTAGATAAGAGATAATGAAATTCAAGGTAGACTAGACTTACATCTCTTGTGGGCATGAAAGGATGAAAGACTGATGATGCATTTGTCCCCTTCCTTGGGCTCAGCCTGGTCATTTCCTACAGCTATTATTTATTACTGCTTACATATAATTTATACATCAAAAACCATAAAAACATAGAAGATAGGAAAGGCTATCTTTGCTATTAAGATAAATTAACCAACAATTATGTATAAGTAAACAGAGCACCAACTTATATGGTCCTTGAACTTTATTAGAATGTTATTTCCATATAGATTTCCCATATTAATAACATTTGTTTGAACCTATCTTGTGTATAGAGGATAATCCTTCCTTTACCTATCCACTTTTGCTTAAATTTAGGGGGAGATCAGAGTTTATAGGACACAGTTTAACGGAAAATAGGGGAAGCAGTTTAAGCATTAAATTCAAACAGGATTTTAGGCCAGCATATTTTTCCCATATGTAAAATGGCAGATAAGATTTTATGCATGTGCAAAAGGATATAGGGTGTAGGTAGATTTTATATTTTGTATCTCAAGTCCATTAAATTAAGGTTTATTACATTATAAAATTACTATACTTACCACTCCTCGCATTCCAACAACAAAATGCTTTGGATAGGATTGACCATTTTCAAACTTAGTGCTATATTTAGTAAGAATTATATCAAGCATATTCAGAAATAGAGACATTTTTGGACTTACTGTGACTGACACTGCTTAATATTAATCTAATATTTTTCATTCATATATTTACAAAATAAAATGTCATGAGAGTAATGAACGGCATGGATTAATGAATACACATAAGCGGGGGGAGTGAGAGTGGTTTCATTTGATTGTTGTGTGTTATTGTGTAAGGGGTAGTTTATACGTCACTTCAAATAATCTTAGGAAATCTTGTCCTCAGCCTTGAACTGTTTGGATGTCTTAAAATTAACAATTTGCTAAGTTCATATATCATGCCAAATCATACACCATGTTTTACAATGAAAGTGGGTGGATTTATATACCATATGATTTGATGTATGAATCAGATCTGTAGTATTGGGAATAATAATAGAGTTACAGAATAATAAGGAATACTGAAATAATGTAGCTCATTTGACTATATTGTCTGAATCCAGCTAATGTGACTTAAGCCTTAATTAGAACACAATATAGCAGAGCATAATGTGTTAATCCAACTGAGTTAACTGGGAGAAACCAAGACCACCCTTGCTTCTGAATTATGTTGTGACTAATTTCAATTCATGAATGAGGACATAAGAGTAGAATGTCCTGTTATTTTAAAATTTGAGAAGAAGCATATACTTCTTTACCCTCATAAAGAAGGTAGGGAGAACATCCAAAGACTGCAGCTTTTTCTGATGAACTAGATCCTGGTTCAAACTACTGCCTGAAGTGAATCCTATTATATAAAGGACAAGTCTTAAACAACTCTTAAACTTAAACTCTCATACATTATACTTCTAAATAAAAAAAATTAAGAAACTTTAGATCAGGGGTGTCAAGCACGTGGCATCACATGAGGTATTGTGATTTTTTTTCTCCTTCGCTAAGCCAGGGGTGGGCATGATGCATCTGGCCCGTGGACCGCGAAGTTGATACCGTTGCTTTAGATTATCCCAATCTTTAAGATCAGGAGAAAGTGAAGGTAATTTTCAAACATATATATTGTGTTTAGGTTTAGGACCTTTCCGAGTGCTGCAGGAAGTCTGAAAGAGAAAAGGAGGCGCTTTTCATAAATTAAATTTACACAAATACAATTTTTATAATGATAATATCCACCCTTTTCAATGACCCTTAAGGGAGTATCCAGTATGCATGCGTAGCTGGGTATAAAGAATATTTAGCTTTCCTTAGCCTTCATTTTTCTGGAATTTTACATTTTTGCCTCAGTGTTCATACTTCATACATTTAAAATAGAGGTATAATATAAATATAGATGTAAATGAGAAATTGTGTAAGGAAGATAAAATTATGACCTTGAATTTGGTGGTTGGTTGCCATCTAACATGAATGTTTATTGTGTATTGCTGAATAACAAGTGAACCATAGTGGAAATGTTAGAATAAAGCTCAGAGTATAATCTTTCTTTTTAAAAGCTTATTTAAATATACAATGAATACAAAAACATAACTAAAAATACTCAGAAAAAATGTGTATAGAAAACTATACAGGTGGTCCTGGACTCACAACCACAGTTGAGCTGAGAATTTTAGTTGTAAGCAGTTGTGGATATTAAGTGGGTCACCATATGCCCTGTCTTGATTTTATAATTGTTTTACAATGGCCATAATCATAAATCAAGCCGCCATGGTCTGTTTGTTCCATCAGGTTATTACAAATTTGAGAGATACATCAATAGGTGTAATTTTTACAGTCAGGTGCTATAGCTGTCCTTGTTTACATTTTTGAGAGAATTAAATTTATTAAACTAATTCTAGCTGTGAAAAAACGTAACTTTTATCCTGATAATTTTTTGTATAAATGTAATTAGCTATATGAATTGATGAAGTTTATTATCTTGTAATCTTCCTTTTAAAGGTAATTTTTAATATTTTCAGTAATTTTGAAAGGCTCAAAACAATAATGAACATTTTATCTAATTTGGTAATAGAGAGCCATCTACAGTGGAAAACATTTCTTCCTCTCCTCTATATATCTTAAAACTTGGTACTTTAACTTATCTTAGGCTGCAATATTTGTCATGCTGCTGAGAATGTTCTTTGAAGAGTGTAGTTACTTGTGTTCTTTAAAAAAATAATTATCAGATGACAAAAACTTTTTCAGTATTTTAAATCCTATAGTGTACTCTGACATAGAATCATTTTTTTTACATAGAAGTTCTACTAGTGGTGAAATAAAGTCACAGTAAAAACACAGATTTTAATGTTTTAATCTCTTAGTCTCAGTAGTAGATACAATATTCACTCAAGTTGTTTATATCCATTTTTTCATTTCCAGGGATCGTCTTGAGTCAGGAACCATTTAGCTTTACTCAGGCACATGAAACATAATATACAGTGGTTTTGTTGACTTACAGAATAGAATGCAGTATGCTTCCAAGATACTGAGATTTTTTTTTATGTGGGGGAGGAAGGGGTGGAATAGGAACATATTGTAGAAAGAGGTTTATTGAATCTAAAATTGACAGTTTTGTTAAATTTGCACATCTTGTAATAAAAGAAAAGCCAACTAATTCAGAGGTATGTGTTTCATATTAAATATCTGGTAAAAGTATTCTGCAAGCCTTTTGCATTTATTAATATCAGCACCAATAATAAAGCAAACTCATGAATACTTAATGTTTTATTTGGTAAATACTGATTTTTTTAACCATATAAAAATTGTTAAGCTGAAAACAAATCTTCAGAAGACTGCAGTGTGCTGTGATTTTAAAAACTTGTGGAAAGATTTCATGATCTAATATGTTTTTAAGCTTTAAAGTTTAATATTACTTAGCGGCATATTTGACATCTGTGATATTATTCTTGACATTTACTTTTGTTATAGCCACATCTATGATAATACTTTCAAAAAATAAGTGAATCATAGAAAGAAGTCCTGTTACTCTTTTTTAAAAAATTTTTTTAATTTGTTACATTAGTTGATACTTTATTAAGAAAAAATAATATTTTAAAAATGGAAAGTGTACATATATATGTTGCTGCATTAATTTTAATAGTAATATTTTTCTCCTATACTTCTGTTTTGATTTAGGAAATAGTAAGAAATATATCTGCATAAGTTAGTATTACATTTTAATAAGTTTATTAAAATAAGAAAATTATATCAACCATTTAATAATGTGTGCTTTAAAGACTGCTGAAAATGAGAATTCTTAGAGGAAGTTGTAAATGGGATGTGTGACAGTATTATCTTTTATCTATAATTGGATATGGTCATTTTAAAATAAAACTGTTTGGCATTCAGAATAAGCTCATTTTACATTTGCAGTATGAAATGGTTCCCAGAATAATTATAAATTGCAACAAATATTCCTTGGAGAGTTCAAAGAACAATTGTCTTAAAATATCAATCAGATTGTTTCTAAACAGTAAGGTAATATTTAGAAATTTTCAGATTCAGTTCTGTAAGATGTTTTTGTACTACTATGTATTTTTGTCACCAAGAGGATAGTATTTCAAAATCAGTTTGGAGTTTTATACTCTGTAATAGGTTTAGTGATTCCCCAAAAGTAGAAGTATGCTGAACTACAGCAGTAAGTTTCCAATTTTAAATTTTGTTGAAAGACTGTGTGAGGGTAATACGAGAAAGACAGTTATACACATGTATTCATATAATAGCCATGAGCTCAGCAAGGATTATTTGTTTAAATTGGATATGATTAGAAATATTGAATACTATTGTTATTCTATTTTAATTGTCATTTTGTTTCTTTCAGAGATGCGAGACAAAATGAGAAAATGGAGGGAAGAGAACTATCGGAACAGTGAGCAAATAGTTGAAGTTGGAGAAGAGTTAATTAATGAATATGCAGCTAAGCTTGGTGATGACAGTAGGTCAAAACTGTTTTACTTCTCTTTATTAGATAGCCCTTCTGATGTGCTATGATATATGTCACATTCTAGATTGTATTAGTATATAGTTAAAATTTCATATTTTGTAATAAAGGCCAACAAAGCCAGACATATGTATTTATATTAAAATATCAGATAAAATAATTAGTATACAGGATCCAATCTGGGTGGGTCACAATTAGTATACAATTGATTTCTCCATCATGCCATCGATTTTAGTTAATATTTTGGTGCCATGCTGATGCACAGTATGTCCATAAACTTTGCAAGCTTAAAATGACCAGTATTCCTAGACTTTTGATTTTTACAAGTATAGCGCGTGGCTAGGGAGCTTATAGCTACAACAGATTAAGTTACTTTCTATTCATAGAGATACTGTTCTCAGAAAACTTTAAACAAATTTCAACTAGTCAAAAGTTTAGGGATTGAAATAGGGTAGTTTATTCCTGAAAAATTAAAGTGAAGTCAGTGATGTGAAATCAGTAAGAAGGTTGCTTTTATAAATACAGTTGGGCAGGAGAGTGCAGGGCATGTCTGGATTTTCATTAGATGCAGTATCATTTGGGAAGAGAGGACTCATAGGTTCATAATACAAATTCTTCTCAGAAAGAAGCTTGGCATTCCCTATTTTATATCAGAAGGGAATCGTTGAAGAAAAAGTTTTACAGGAGCAATGTATGCTGTGCAGGTAAAGTATCTGAATGTACAGGAGTGATTAAGATTGCTATGTAGGCAGGAAGAGAGTAAAAAAAGATTTTATTTTAATTAGTTTATTTTATCTTCATTTTTATAACTCTTAACCTAATTCATACAGTGTGAACAGTTTATTTTTGGCAGAGGTCTCAAAGATCTGAACTAGAATATTCTTTATTTCATTTTAGGAAGTTTTGATCTTAGTAATACTTAAATTCAACAAAATACAGTTTTTCTGAAACAGATTTATTAAATGCTAAACCAAGAAACGTTTACTCTCTAGGATATTGCAAGAAGTAACCAGGACTAGTGAAAACTGCTTTTCTTTCAGAAGAATAAGTGAATAGTAAACTTGTGTGGATCTGATTTCTATTTTGAACCAAAGTAAATTATGTTGGAAAGAGTGATTGCTTTATTGGAACAATTGAATATATTCATTGACCTTTTTGGTGAATTACTTTATGAATTTATAGTAACAGTTTAAAAACATTCATGAATTTAGATAACACAACATAACTTTGATTACAAACAACAATATTTTGTTCCATTTGTAGTGTATGTCATTGTTCCAGAAGACTGCAGTAAATGAACTGCCATTTCCTGCTATCATGTATTTACTCTCCTTAGGGTCTGTATTAACCATATAGTTTATATTTTAATACTCAGAAGGCATTTTTATTTTCTTTAAGAAATTCATCTCAGAATCCTTTCAGGTTTTACACAAGACAAACATAAAAGCTATTGCAGATATCTACACACTTGCCTATGATCATTTTTTTCTTAATGGAAGCTGAACACCCTGAGTTGAAAGGAGTTGAGTTGATCAGATTGGATTATTTTTAGTCAAGGGGTTAATCTGAATAGTAAATATATAAAAAAGAAGAAATGCAATATTAATGTGGATTTTCATTAACTCTGTAGCTAAGGATGTATAATTATGTGATTTATAGCATTTTTAAATTCTTTAGAATAAGATTTCTCCTTGGAACTTCTTCGATGAATTTTTGAATTCAATAAATAAACAATATTGGAATTTTACAAAAACATTAATTAAAAGAAAACAAAAGGAGAACAGTGCACCTATATCAGCAAAGATTTTTTTCTGAAAACTATTATTTGCCAAAACCACTTTTTAAAGCTGGTAACCTCTGAATCATTCCGTAGTAGATTTGATATTCCATGTTGTTTTTCCAATTCAGCTTTTAAGATGAACCAGTGTATAAAAATATATGAGCAATGAAGTTAAAACATGTTTAGCAAATACTTATATTTTAAATTTATTTATTAGACTTTATTTATTTGGGCAAGTGTGATTAAACACACAATTTGTCTAAATATTCAGGTTTAGCATTAGTGCGATGGGTTTCTGTGGGATTAAGTATACTGACGTTATAAAAGGCAAGGTTTCCTACAATTTGCTATGAACTGATTTACAGGTTTGTGGGGAGGGAAATTATGTTTCATGATATTTTGTATTATCTAGTTTGGATAATATATGAGCAAGTGATGATCGCCGCATTGGATTGCAGCCGAGATGACTTGGCATCGGTAAGTGTTCCAACAGACTTCTTATGCAATTCCAGTAAATCTAATCTTTTTTAACACAATAGGTAGGCATTCTCCTTATTTTCTTCTGCAGTCCATTAGTGCAATATATTTCTGCAATCTACTTTTAGAGCTATGTAAATCCGGTGAAATACACTAGTTTCCCTTTTAAATCTTTGAAACATCCATGTCTTTTTTGAGACTCACATGACTGATTTGGAAAGTGTCTGTGCAACGACATATTTCTCAGGTGTCCAGAAGCAAGAGTTTTGAATGTATTCACTATGGCTTCCTGAAACTCCCATGGGAAGAAGGAATCCTGTGATTCATATTATATCAAATAAGCTGCACTGAAAAAAAGAAGTGATTAAAAACTATGAACTTTTCAATTTTTAAGATACTATTTTGACATTTTACCAGGCATCCATTTTTGATGAAGGACTTTATATTGAAATATTTGAAATTTAAAGTAGAATATTGTGTTAATTTATTACAAGAAAATGCATTTTATTTTTTGGACTTTCCAAGATTTCATGTTTTAAAAATCGATGGGATCTCTCAGTGCTCTAAGCATATTAGTTCGATAGCTTAAACATGGGTTAATAGTATGTCCCTACAAAGCTATTCTTTTTTTCAACATTATGGACATTGCTTCTTCAGGTTTTGTTTTAAAATGTATCAAGATGATAGCTTGTTCTACTCTCCCTATGTTGGCCCTCCCATATGATGTATTTGTTTTTGATAACAGTTTTTGACCTTCAGTGGATATATTGAGCCTTTTTTAAAGTTTAGTCTCTTTTCTCTAGAGGATATATTTTTCATGTACATTTTCTTGTTTTACTGCTATAGAAATGTTGCTTGTGCTCATGGAAATATTTTTCTCTTTTTGGTCAAAAAAAAGTGCTATAATATTAATTAATATGTTTCTTGAGATGAAAGAGCAGGTGTAGATTAAACATGCACAGTATTTTCAGTCCATAATTTTGAATAGCTTAATAGTAGACTCATTTTATGTATTTATGTGAGCTTGGTCTTGGGCACTGCATTAAATGTTACATTTTTTTATTGTTTCATTATAAAATAAAAATACAGAAAAAACAAAGGGTAAAAAACTAAGAGAAAAAGAGAAACTAAAGAAAAAAAGTGGTGACTTCTGATGTTTTTCAGTGCAGTAAAATAAAAAAATGCAACCTCAATCTTTTACATTTTGCAACATTTCAATCCATTTCTATAATTACAAAATTATTATAATTTTCAAAATCTGAAGTTAAAGTTTCATTTTTCCAGTTTTGAATAAGAAGTCCATATGCTTTTCAAATAGAAATGAAGCTAGATAAATTCTTGTCTTTGATTGAAACAGTCTCACCATGTTTGCTAAGTTTATTACCTTTACTGTCCACCCTTCTATTATGTTAATAATTATCTTCTAATTATTGTGATTTAGAAATTATATTTTAAAATACTTGATGTTTTAATAAGAGGTACAATGAAACCTCTGATTGAAGAACTGAGTGAGGATATGTTGTTTCTCTCAATAGTTGGTTCCATCATAGTACTTATACTGTCATTTAAGTGAAGCTTAATGTCAATAAAGTAAACCTATCAATGTATTTAGAGAAATTAAGCCTATTTTATACAGTGAAAGTAAGGAAGATTATACACACTGCTCATTGTTAAATCACATTTTATTGGCCTTGTGATAATTCTTTCAAAGTTTTTTTAAATAAACTAGGACAGCAATTATATGTATGTATTTGTAAGATGAATTCAGAATGGCTTGTAATTAAAATAGTATTTTTCACTGAAACCCCCAATTAGTTAAAATAAAACAGCTGTATAAACTAGATTTCCAAAGTTCAAAGCAAACTTTATATAATTAGAAACAAGGAATAAAATCATGCTAAATGATCTCTGATTATATTAGGCCAAACCACTGGGCACAAGGCCAGGTATAATAGTATCCCCAAAGTGCAAACCTTAATTTTTCAACACCACTTGTTCATTATTGAGAACCTCTGTATATTGATTGAACTTTACCACATTTAGTCCTGTCGAATCCATAATCATTGCAGGCAGTTATTTAAACTAGATAAAAATCGGAACCAAATATTGTTTCTCTTCTCCCACTCCAAGATATACATTATGACTTAAGTATGCTTGGCATCAGTGTCTTTTTCAGGAATGGTTCAGACAACTGCATCTTAAAATAATCAGCATTTGCACGGTAATATAGTAGTAGTTGAATTTGGAATTTGTTTCTGTCTAACAGGGTATATTAGATTTGCATTTAATAGCTGTTGCTGATTTAGGGGAAATAATAGTTGTTTTTATTTTAAATAATATAGTTATTACAGTAAATCCAAATTAAATATAATGTATTTTTATGTAAAATTGTGCACAAAGAGCTTTTTGCATGCACTTCCCCATTACTGAATTCTGCTAGCAGTACAAGTTGCATGGTAGGTTTGAAAAGGACAGAAAAACTGATCTTGTTAATTAGTTATATGTTCTTTTAGTTTTTTTAAAAACTCTGTTTTGAATATGTTTGACGTCTTGGATCTATCTATATGTTGGCTTCTTTCAAATACTGCTGAAGTGTTAATTTGATATTTTGGTTGTGCTGGGATGGGTTATTGCCAGATGAATCTCTTAATTACTGCATTCAAATAAACATCACTCAAACCTTTGAAAATTATGTTCCTTACCTACTCATTTTTCTTCATGTTTTGAATTTATAGTATTGCCTTCAAGAACTAAGACGGCAATTCCCTGGGAGCCATAGAGTTAAACGGTTAACTGGTATGAAATTTGAAGCCATGGAGAGGTAACTGAATTCTAAAGAATATTTTCCAGATGCAGTTTTAAAAGACGTCTCCCAGAATATATATAAATATAAAAGCTATGAAGGAATACATTATGTAGTTGAGAGTAAAGTAGGAAAATTATAAATAAAGATGAATTAGAATGGAAACATATTGGAAAATGTAATAGAAATATATATTAAAAATTAAGATTATGCAACCTCTTAAATTTAACAATCTTTTAGTGACAGTAGCATGGTCCATTTTGTTTGACATTGTCCTGTATTATAGAACACTTTGTTCAAGAGTTCTGTGCTCCACTCATAATTAACTATATAAACTGGAATGTTCACAATTTGTTTCATTAAAGAAAAATAAATACTACTAGTTCTGAAGGAACATCTTAATTCTTTTTCTGACATCTTTCAAATCTGAAACAAATGGAACAGTGGTCTCATTCATATTCTGTTTCTAATTATTTAAGGAAACTTTTTGAATATAAATTGACGAGGTGTGAGCCCATTAAATATTAAATTTATTTAACATTTCTGGTGAAAAGAATGAAGTGGGATAGTATTACATTTCTGACCATCATAGTGATCATGTGATCTTTAGAATTAGAATTCTTTATTGGCCAATTGTGATTGGACACACAAGGAATTTGTCTACAGTGCATAAGCTTTCAGTGCACACACAAGCAACAAATGATAAATCATGATTTATAATCATAAAATACATTAATCATAAATCATAAGATAAACACTTAGTGATAGTCATAGGATATTAAATAAGCAATCAATATAAATTATACTGGAACACTAAATAAAACAATTAATATAAATCATAAGATACAACCAACAAAGTTATAGTCATAAGAAGATAAGGAGATAGATAATAGGAAAGATGAGAAGGATAATAGTAATACAGCCCTACTTGGTAGTTTTTCACAGTGTTATGGGTTCAGCAGAGGGATGGCATGGGGAAATCATTGTCCTTGTGTCTAGTTGTTTGAATGTACAATGCCCTATAGCAGCGCTGTCAAGCTCCTGGCCCACAGGCCGGATGTGTCATGCGCAGGCCATGCCCACGCCCGGTTTAACGAAGGGAAAAAAAGTCCCAATATGTCATATGATGACACAATGACGCTGGGAGTTTGACACCCCTGCCCTATAGCGTCATTTTGTGGGAAGAAGTTGAAGCAGTTTATGTCCAGGATGTGAGGGGTCTACATATTTTCACAGTGCTCTTTCTGCCTGACTCACATTTATGATGGTTGCAATGCCCTAGGTCATGTGTTCACTTTTGCATCCTCCTGACCTGGAAAATCAATAACGAAACCAGAGTCACTTAACAACCATGTTACTAATTTAACATCTGCAGTGATTTACTTAACAAATGTGGCAAGAACATTTTTAAAATGGGGCAAAACTCAACAAATTTCTCAGCAACGTAAATTTTGGATTCAATTGTGGTCTTAAGTTGAGGACTATCTGTAATGTAATAAAATATATCAACTTTTTACTAAGTAAAAGGCAAGATACAACAATTCATTAATCAAGATAAAAAGTCTGCCCAGACATGTTAACAAAGATGTTAAGTCCGATTAAAATTGTACTTAAATGCTGTAGCATCTGCACTGAGGACAGTGGCTTCAAATGTGCCAAAACAATCCAGCTACTTCAATGACGTCAGATGAACAACATTATACATATTTATGTGCATATCCAGATGTTATTTTCCAGCAGGTTTGCACATCTTACTGGGTTAGGATGAATGGCTTTTAGTATATAGAGATGTTAGAACACTGTTAAATTTACCTGAAGGTGTTTTCTGTTCATATTTGCAGCTATGATGATGCAATACAGTTATATGACAGGATTTTACAAGAGGACTCAACAAACACTGTAAGTTAAATAGAAAAATAAGCATTGCCTTTTTTTCTTTGTCTTTATATTGTAACACTTTGCTTCTGGTCAATACTTTGAGTTAAAATTCCAGCATAAAAAAATCACCAGATTTAATAAATGTCTTTGATGAGGAGCTGAGGCTTCTTCCTGTGTTGTAATAGAACATAGGTATGTTTGAATGCTGATAAATACTATAGATTTCAGCATAATAGCTTGGTATATTTTGAAATTTTAATGACATTGGTAAAAGTCAGACCATAACTTTAAATAGTTGTGAGAGAAAAATACCAGCAAGTTTGAATATTTATTTATTTTATACTGACAATTTAAAATCATAAATGCTGCACATATGGTGAAGGTTAAAATCTCAAAAATCCTGGCTCCAGTGAATTAATTGAAGAGAATTGGCAGTAGGGGAGGCCAAGGTCACACCCACATAGTCCCTTTTCCTTGCAGTATATTAATATTGACTGGGAAATTGGTCTGCAAATATCAACATGTATTTCATATTGCAGCTCACCCACGTCTACTGCTGATCATGGAAGATTGGATGTTCTAAACAGATTTTGACACCAAAATTTATTGTCTAAATCAGCCTGATATTTATATCAATTCCCCAAATCAGGAGAAATTTATCTTTAGTTTGATTTAATGCTTTCTCCATAATTGTCCTGGAAGGGAAATATAGGAAAACACAAATGAAACCTGATACTGCCATGGAACACAGGTGCCATAGAAACCATGGCCTTCTCTATTGTCAGCTTTCCAGGGATATTTGTCATCAGTTGATCATTCCTTTTGGATTTAAATTTCCAGGGAATTCTCATAATTTTTGTTTGCATTATCCATTAAACAACCACAATAAACTTTATTTCTCTAAAAGTAGCAAAATTCTGCTGCATTATGCATAAACTTTGTCTGCAAATGGTTGCTGATAATTATTATTGTGAGGGGGTTCTCTTGAATGTATTTTTATTGGTCAATGATCAAATAATAAATAAAATTTCTGGAACCAGGATTGTTATAGACAAAAACAAATAAGAAATGTAATATTGGCTGAATTCTTTTGGGTTGGGAAAATCATTCATCTAACGAAAGCATGCGTCCATTTTCAAGTTATTCTTCCTCTGAAGAATCAAGTTAGCAAGTTGGAGTTGCTTCAGCACTTTTAAAAGAACAGCAAGGGACTTCAGGAATTGTGTTAAAAACTTTGATGTCTCTGTTGTCCAACTGAAGAAAAGTCAACCTTCCCACAATACCACCATAGTGTACTGCAGTGTATTTTTTTATGGGCCAAATTTAAGAACTGTTCATAAATTTCACTCAGTATGTAATGTAATTGCAGGAACAGTGGGAGAGGCTAAGGTTTTGTGTCATGTTACATCAGTTCAGAGAGCAGCCTACATTTTTGGTTGTGGTTTTCAAGACCTGAAACAGTTTTAACATGAGATTATGTAAAGAATAATTTACAGCAGTATTAATCTGTCCAAGTGTACATTCAGTGTGGAATTCCTGCTTGTTGACAGTAAGGGAATATTAATATGTAGAAGAAATCAGACTTCACATCTTTGGAAGTCTTACCTAAGATATACATGTGCCCATTTCATTTTAATATGCTGATGCTTATTATTTTCCTTTCATGCAAGAAAAATGATTAGTGTGGTGTTTTTTTTAATATTTGATTCAAAAAGCTTTGCTAAGAATAATACACAAATAATTCTGAGAATTGAAAATAAGGGATTATTCTGCAATATTTTTGTAATCATATTTTCAAAAAAATTATCTTGAAAATAGTGAGAATCAAAAGTATTAATTTGTTTTTCCTTTTAGATAAATAGCAGATACAAGAATAAACTGATCAGATAATTTATTTAAAAGTGTATATAACTTCAGTTGCTTTGAAACAACTGATTTTAAAATTAATATGAAACAAGAAATATTCAGTTGGAAGCACTGAAGTTGCATAAACCATATATTTTTTTTATTTTTTACATATCTCTTCAAGTGAGCAACGTGGTTCCAGGTTACAACATTCATACATAGTCACAGTTACATTTCCAACTTTCTTATCTAATTTCATATCAAATCATTATCTATTCCACCGATCTTTGAATAAGTTCCCACTTCATATTTCAATTCATTAATTCAATATCAAAAACATTTTCGTCCTCACATATATTTTCCACTCTTCATCCCCTATTATTTCCTTTACCAGCTTACCACCTATTTTATTTTACATTGTTATCTTCATTAACTTTCTCAAAGCTGATATATAATAAACAAAAAAGAATAAAAATAAAACTAAAATGCCCAGGATCCACATGGTATATCCCCTAATCTACAGTAAATTCCAGAGATATTCATATCACCATTTCATATTTTCTCTTTGTTTCCACTTAGCCAAAGTTTACTTATGAGATTTTATTGAATTTTCATTCCCCTCCTTTTTAATCATAAAATAATAATTTCATTGCAAATACTTCACTTTACAATATAATCCTGGTTTACCATATTCTGTTTTTTTATATCCTTTATACAATCAATTACATTTTCTATTTCATGTCTAATATAATATGTATACAATAAAAAAGAAAGAAATAAAAGAGAAAATTGAGTTTCCTTTTTGTTTTCATTTAATCAAGTTTAACCTATAAAATTATATTTAATTTTCACTCCACACTTTTTGGTCATAATAGCATATTTTTTTCTATTTACCATATTCTTTGTTTTTCTAATATCATTTGAATAATCAGTTACATTTAGATAGATAGATAGATAGATAGATAGATAGACAGATAGATAGATTTAATAACAATCAAACCATCTTGATTTCTCTTACTCTATCATCATTTTTCTCATATATGATTATATAATAATCCTAAGGTAATTCCCAATAAGTTTTAAACTTCAAATCTCCCCATTCTATATTTCTAAAAAAAAATAAAAAATACTAAAATACATTTCCATGTGGTATCCCCCTTTTATATTATCTTTAACCCTTATTTCTAAATCCCTCGGCCTGATAGTTTCTTGTAATTTTAACCAGCTTTCCCTTTTCTAAGTTTTTCTGGTCTTTCCTCTTAACTCCTCTTTTTTTCCTTTAGTATTGTTTTTATTTTCATCTGCCAATCACTTATTCCCAACCCCACCCTTTCCTGTTCTCTCGTTTGCAATTTCTTCTTATACAGCTTCTCCTTTTGTTTGATCTTGGGAATATTTTCCCTTTTATTTATTACATCTATCATCAGTGTCTTAATTTTAATTCCTTTCATGTCCTTTTGCAATGTCCTTTGTTCTTTGTGCTCTTCTAGGCTGCTTTCCTCTTCTTTTGACTCTTCCTTTTTGAACTTTCTTTGTTCTTCTGTGAACTGCATCGCCATTAATTTTTCTGCCAATATGTCCAATAGTTCCAATCTTTCTTTTAACATTCCTCTCACAGTTTGCAGTTCCGACTTGACTTCTCTGCATGCTTCTTCCATTTTATTTAGCTGAGTTATTCTCTATTTTATTAAAAGTCAAAATCTTGTATTTTAATCCTTGCCAAAAATATCTGTTTATCTCAATTCCTTTTACTAATCCTTCTGTTTCCTTGTCACAATCAAAACCAAACAGTCCCAAGATATTATCTTTGCTTGTCTTTTGCTGCAAACCGCCCCCCCCCCCTTTTGGTGCTTCCAGGGTTATTGTTGTAATATAGTCTTTTATTTCATTTCATTTCTCATTCACACATTTGTAAGACCAATAATTTTCCATGAAATCATAAGAGAAAAAATGCCTTTAACCATTATGTGGCACTCTACATTGCTTTCCACTTTTCATAGTTCTTTTTTGTCCTTTCAATTGTATTCCGCTAATTTTCATCCATTAGCTTTTTTAAATATAGTCAGTTCCAGGCAAGTCCAGCATTCTGTCCAATGCCTAATTAATGCCAATTTCTATATCCTATTCCAAATTTATTTTATGTTCCAATTTTTTATTTACCTTATAATTTCCTCTTATTTTCCATTCGCCGCTACCACACTCTTAAAGGAGGGCTCTTTCCTTCTGTTTCTCAGGGTTGTCAAAAAAGAATCCAAAATCCTTTGTCTGGTTACATACCGCTCACCACTTCACCGCTCCAGCACGCACTTAAGTCCCAGAAGCTTCCCATCTTCAGGGTAGCCATTAAGACTGCCACTACCTCCTGTCTTCAAGGGGAGTATACCTAGCAAAGGAGGGGAGATGCGGCTCCCTCAACCGGCTGGCGGTCTCCCCCTCTTCCCCCACCCTTCCGAGGTGGTTACGAGATGGATCCGGTCCCGTTGGGCTCCTCCAACAGGATAAGCAAGGATCGAAGCAGCGCATGATCGCGGTCTTCAGTCAGTCTTCGACGGAAATGCCACCGGAATATATAAACTATATTTTGATTTACTGTTAGACCTGATGAAATAATGAGAGATTAAATTAACTGGAAGACATTTTCAAAATTGCAATATTGATGCTGTTAACATTTTTGTTGTGCAGGAATCCAGTTTCCCTTATTTCCAAATCAGAACATTGTAGCAAAGCATCTTAAAATTGCCAAATCATTAGTATGAAAATTATACTATTAGTTTTATTATATGACTATAATATTGTAAATATTGGTCTTGAGCACCTTCTCTTACTTAAATATATTAAACTTGACTATTGAGCAAATGCCTTTTAGTTAGTCAAGTATAGGTACTTTGATTTTGTTTGCTGAAGAATGAAGGTTAAGTAAAAAGTTTTGATAAATTGTCAGGTATTGGAGTTGTTTATATGTCATCTACCTGTTAATTATTTCCATGTGCACATATGGCTGCTGTAGGAAAAGAAATGCTTCATGGTTTTAAACTGAAACTATTCTTGAGTTTGTCTTGGCACTAACCTGAGCTTAAAGCAGTCTCTTATGGTGTGCTGACACATGGAGTTGCTTAGATATATTAAACATTTTCTGTTATTTGGCAAGTGATACATCAGCTTTCGTTCACATAAGTCATGTAAAGATCACGCATTGCAGGAGCTGACAGTTTGAGACAGGAAAGATAGGGGCTGCATAAGAATAAAAAACAATTTTACTACCCTGCAGTTTTTTCCATTAGAGTATAGAGGGTTGTAAACTTTACCTTACATAATGGAAAAGTACATCTCAAAGTCAGTCATTGTTGTATTGCAGTTATGAAATTAGAATAGGAACAAATATTTAAATGTTTCAAAAGATGTGTTAAAATAAGATTTTCTATATTAATACTAAAAATGAAAGTCCTAATCCATGAGCTATTTAAGCATTTTCTTGATGAGAGTTGAAAAACAGTTCTGAGCAATATAATATAGGTAAGGCCAAGTTTTGTTACAGTCTATTAGCTTCAACTAAGGAATCCTTGGGTAGGAATTAATCTCTCTCTCCAACTTCTGATGGGTCTGATAGGTTTCCATTCTGGAACTTTACTGCTTTTAGAGCATTCTCCAAAAACATTTCTGTATTTGTGGAAGGAAGCAGATATATTTGGGGTATGAAAGTAAATCATCTCATGGGAAAGTGAGTGAGAATGTATGATAATTGCATTTGTCATAAATGCCAGTGTTGTGCCATTGTGAGTTTTTGTCCCATCATCTTAAATATACTACATGTAATTCTGGACTTACAACCACAATTTGACTGGAATTTTTATGGCTGAACAATACGGCCATTAAGCAAATCATCACACAACCAAAGCAGTTTTATGATCTTTTTAAGCTATGGTTGTCACATGATACTTACATGATTCACATGGTTGTTAAGTAAAGTCAGTTCTCCCCATTGCTTATTGAAGTCTGGCTGGGGAGGTTGCAAATTGCAAGCACATGACTGAAGAACGGTGTAAATGAGAGATGGTTGCCAAGCACCCAAATTGCGTTCATGTGATCAAGGGTGGCACAATGGTTGTAACTTCAAGGTCAAGTCATAAGTCACACTTCCAGTGCAACCGTAACTCCAAACCATCGTTAAACAAATGGTCATAAGTCAAAGACTACCTATTTGGACAATGGACAGGATGTGTAATTTTCAGAAAGCCTTTTGGTGCTTTCACAAAACTGGAAGGTATAGGCAAGCCAGATGAAATTGCAAATCCCAGGCTGGCCAGCAGCTAAGGGACTGCTATGTATTGGGAAGGTGCAAAGGGCCCACAAGAAGCACAGGGTGCACAGGACAGTTGGAGGGTGTGTGGGGATAGTCAGGAAGGGTGTGGAAGGATGAGGGTGGTCAGGAAGGATGCCTGAAAGTATTACATAGATAAAGGAAGTTGTGAGGGAAGTACAGAAAGGGTTGGGGAAAGTGGGTAGGAGAGCACATGGTGCGAGTCCAGAAGGGCTGAGGGAGAATGAAAAGATAAGCGAAACCTACCTAGAGACTTGTGACTTTTCCTGCTGGTTTCCCCATTGACTTTCTAGAGATGTTGGCAAATTGCAATCATGTAATTGCTGGATGCCACAGGCTGGTCATAATTCTGAGCAAGTTTCCAAGTACCTAGATTATGATCACGTGATCGCAGGGGTGGTGGGATGGCCAGAATCCGAGGACCAGACATAACCATCATGTGTTCAGTGCTATTCAAACACAAAGTAGATCAACTTACAAACAGTGCTTTAATCAGATCATGAAACTTTTTGAATGAAAAAGAGAGGAGAAATTATCTCAAGATAGTTCTCAGGATGTTTTTCTTTTGAGAATTGCAAATACTTATTCAAATACATTCTAGAATAATGTTCACGCCTACCAATATACAGACCCCAAATTGGTATATTTATTTATGAGTATCCCAACTTTATTTTTAAAAGAAACTCAAGGTGAAAAACGTAACTAATACTCCTTATTCCTATTTTCCCGATAACAATAACCATGTGAGGTGGGTTGGGATAAGAGACTTTTGACTGCCTTGACATAACAGGCTAGTTTTCATGCCTAATGTGAGACTAGAACTCACAGTCTCCCAGTTTCTAAGTCAGCGTCTTAATCCCTATACCATCTTGATTGCTGGCTGAAGAGAGATAAATTCTTTCTCTGATGTATTCCTTGCCTTGCGTTTAATATGGCAAGTATGGAAGAATTGTGCAGTGGGACCAAAAGAACATTTGTAGGTTTAACTCCACAAGTGTCTCTGAAGTCTATTTCTAGGTAGTCAGTGCAATACTGTATTCACTTGGCTTGAAAAATTTCCTGCCAGTAAAAATTTATTTTTATTATTAAATGTACTGTATATTCTTCCCATCTCATTATCCAAAGCAATTTTGATAAATAGAACATATTGCAATGAATGGATTGACTTGATGGGTTAAAGTTGCAAATTCTTGTTTATACCAGTGCTTTTTCAACTAGGAAGTATGTATATTTTAGTAATAGTTTGGGGCCTAATCAGTTTTTATACCGTATCTGTTGGGGTTTGGGAAGTAGGGACTTCTATAGGCTTGCTGAAAGAATGATGCCATATATTTGGAAAACATAGGATTTATAAGTGTGTTGCTCTTATGGTTCTAGATTTTCTTTGAGCTGACAGTGAATCAGTATATGGGAGAAAAGATTGGATAGAAATTGGCCAGAGTGCAATGGGATGTCAGTTTAAAATTCCAATTTCACATAAAATAGTCGTGGTTGTAAAATTTGCCAGATTATTGCTTTCTTTTAAGATTACACTACTCGGGAGAACTTGAAAGTCTGCAACTGAAGAAAGTTGTTTGGCTACCTGTAGCACAAGGAATTTCATGCCCTGTTTAATGCAGGCGATCTTAGAACAAGATATCGCATATACTTCACCAACTCCATCGTCTTCTGATGTGATCAAATGTCTTTAGTAGTGCAAGATAAAGATCAGTTTATATGCGCATGCTGGAAAAGCATATAATATTTCCACTGGTAGGAAGCTTAGGAGTCTGAATGGCTTCTGTTGTGTGGGAATAGTATGGTTTACAAATATAGCAGGAGTGACTAGAAAGCCTTAATTCCAAATCATTTGAGAAGACCCTACTTGTGTATTTTTGAAGGAAGAGCATTCAGAGGTAAAAAGAAAGAACCTTTCTCATGGCAGTGAACTGTCTTCTTAGCTGCTGCAGATGTAGTTTGTTTTAAAAGGGGGTATAGGGTAGGGATAGAGAATCAGCAATGACATGTGCCCCAGATTGCTAGGGCATGCCTTTTGTTTACTTGTTATGAAGCTGTTAATTCAATGGAACAGCTGCCAGACAATTTAGAATTTAAGTAGCTGAGATAACAGTTGAAATGTTCTTAGAGTTGTTATACTGCCAGGAATTGTGTGCACAATATTGGCTACCTTTTTCCTTCTATTATTGCAATATCCAGAGGCTGCTTCAGCAAATCCAGATTTCTGCTTTGAGATTTATGGAACATTGCTTCTAAAAGGTTCTTTAGCGTAGAAAGAAAAAGAAAAATCTTGGAAACCTGGAAGTACAATTTGGTCATCTCCAGTGACTGTCTCAGTGTGAGACAAAATGCATAAATGGTCGGCTGAACAACTTTGGGGTTCTTCAATAATTGTAATTATAGAACCTGGACTTGTGATGCATACAGTTTGCACATATAAATTAAAACATAATGCCAAAGCAAGAAAAGCTGTTTAAATCTCTCCACAGGATGTCATCATGTATGAATCTGTGTGAAAACTCCTGTCATGCAGTTGCTCAGCGATACAGCTTTTTGATCATTAAAATAATAATTTGCAGAGTCAAATTGCCTGTTTCTCAAAAACCCAAGAGATGGTGTCTACAAGCACATAATCCTCTGTCAAATTTAACCTATAGGCAGCCCGAAAACGTAAGATTGCCATTCGGAAAGCTCAGGGGAAAAACACTGAAGCCATCCGAGAGCTGAATGAGTATTTGGAACAGTGAGTGTTTTATAAGAATATGCCTTGTGTTTCATTAAGCCTAATCTCTTTTTTAATTAAAAAGGCATTACATTTGATTTCTTTCTTTGCCTCCTTGCTGTTCATTTTGTAGAATCTATTTTTAGCTCTTTTCTTCACCTTCTTTTGTTCAGATTTGTTGGGGACCAGGAAGCCTGGCATGAGCTGGCAGAGCTCTACATCAATGAACACGAGTAAGTTGCTTGCAAAACCTAATTCATAAAGGGCTAAGAAGGTTTTTCTTTTCTTTTTTTTGCATACAAAAAAGGCTTGCTTTCTTAAAGCGATTATTGGAAGATTCCTGATTTTATTCCAGTAAAATAAATAGCACACATACTATTTTTCCCAGGGGGCATTCTTCCCCCTTTTTTTATAAATAGGAAGAAGGTTTTAAGTTTTTTATAAGAATGCATTTTTATGGACTTGTCAAGCACATTCTATTTAAGCCGACATATTTTTGGTAGCTTGGTTACAGGCATTTAATTATTTTTGCCTGATGTAAATACTGATCTTCTAAATTCAAGAAAAAGCATGGATGAACTGCATTTACAATTTTAACATTCTCTGAAAAGACAGGCTAGATAAAATTTACAACAGACGAATGTTTTCTAAACAATAAATAAATTGTCATTAAAATAAGAATCTTGCCTCTTGGATAAATAACAGCTTGCACTTAAGAATGTTGGCACTTTTCTATTGCATCTTGAATGTTGTTGTTCACTTTTTTTATTGCTTTAGTGACAAGAGGAAATCCCAGCATGAGCAGATTAGTGTACAGCTGTAGTTCAGTTTTTTTAAATATATGGCATTAATTCTAACCTTCATTCCAAAAGCAAATTATTGGGTTTCTTTTTTCTGTCCAGCTTTACTTTTTAGCCCAAAACTTATGATGTTGTTGCTTTCCATGCATATTTCAAGGAATAAGAAAGTAATGAGAAAACCTACTATTTTTATCGAGTTACCAAAAATAGCTTTATTTCTTTTTTTTAAGAACATAGCCTTAAGTATTCTGACCTCAGTGGGTAATTTTAGTTTAGATTGATTGATTTCTTTGTTTATTTTATGTATTTATTTATTTAAATTTATACTCTGCCCATCTCACTATCAAAGTGACTTAGACATTGTTCTTTCTCAGTGTATTAACAATATAAGTGCTGTGTGTGTGTGTGTGTGTATATATATATATATATATATATAAATAAAATTAAGGGATTCAGAAACAAAATGTTATAGTTTTATTATTAGCCTCTTGTGGTATATTTCATTATCACCTTTATTATGATATACTCTGATATGGACTATGTCCTACTTTATCAGAAGCATGGATAAAACTGGCAGATGACAATTAAAAATACATATTTCTGTAAATTTAATAGCAGGCATAAACTGGCATATTGATAAAATTAGAGATTAAACAGGTCCAAAAATTTGAAACCGAAGTCAAATATTTTCACAGAATCCACGAAGAATGCATTTTCTATGTATATCCTTTTTGGTAAAAATGTTAAATAAGATCAGGTTTAGTAAAAGAGATGATAAAAGTTATAGTTACATAAAAACAATGGTTACATATATTAAATTATAAATAAAGTGAACCAAAAAGGTAAAAGACAAGGTATGCATGTGGAATTTTGTAGAGGAATTGGGTTCTCAGAATAATTAGTATTCGACAGAGGGAAAATATTTGTAGCTTGGTTGAAATGAGGGGTCTTTGGTGCTCTCTGAACTTGGTTGTTTTGCAGACATTTCACTACCCAAACTAGGGAACTTCAGTAGTTCACTGTTGATGTTGCCTAGTTTGGATGGTGAAACGTGTACAAGAAAGCAACCAAGCTGAGCGAGCACTAAAGACCCCTGCAATCAGTATTTTCCATTTTTCACTGACTCCTCCCCTAGTCAGATTCCAGAAAATAGCACAGAAAAACTTGTGAATTTTTAGGGTTCAGTAAATGCAACACAAGGGGCTAAGAATGTATTAAGGTCTATAAAGGAAATTTAGTTCTGATTATTGTAGCTTATAGTTATCAAGTTGCCTTTAACAAGCAAACAAGGCTTTTGGTGAGTTTATTATATTATTACGGCAGTTCCTTTGTTTGCATTTGTTTTAAGGTGTGGTTTTATAGGATAGACTGAAGTCTGATTTTGTAATAAAAGTTGTGGCTTTTCTGTTTGTTTTTTTTAATGTGGTTTTGGAACACATGTTTGGTAGTAAATGTGAAGCAACTAAACATGGACATTCTCTCTTGCTATCGTATGTTAGAAATCAGTTGCCACAGATTTTGAAAGCTTTTAGAATTTGGGTATATTTTATAAAAAGCATATGTTTGAAAAATGCCTATTTTAATCTTCAAAATATATGAGTTTAGTGACATTATTGATCATATTCAGTTTACATGGTACTATACAATCCTGAAAAATTTCTGTTCCTTTTGCTAAACAGAACTTACAATTGAAATCTTCAATGATATTCTGAACTGTAGATGCTCCAATACTTTTTTTATGGATAAGATTTAGCCAAACCAATTCAATCCAGTCTTACCCAGTTTGCAAAAATCTTACTCACAGAAATTTCTTTATCACTTAAGTTGCATTTAATACTTTCTTCTTTTGCCTGTTCTATAAAAAGATGATCTATTTTTGTTCAAATAATTTTAACATTGTTTTCACCCTGGTATTATAATAAACACCGAATTTGTCTTGCTTTTCTTTATCTCTCTTTTGCCTTCAGTTATGCAAAGGCTGCCTTTTGCCTAGAGGAACTCATGATGACTAATCCTCACAATCACTTGTATTGCCAACAGTTTGCAGAAGTAAGTATTTTAGAATATTAGGAGCAGCTAGTACTTGTCCCAAAAGAAATGGTCAGTTGGCAAGATATACTATCTTCATAACCTGTTTGTTTATCTTCTCCTATGGGTTACCCTTTCAATTTTTCCTACCATGATTTCCCATCCTTTTTCTCCCTCTCTTGTTTCCTAGGTCAGAAGTCCTTTTTAATGAGGATATCTTTATAAAGTTTTTTTTAAATAGTACATTTAAAATATTTTTTCAATCTTAAATTTTAATTAAGTTTTTAATCTTTTAATTTGTTATAATCTGTAAAAGGAAAGCCCATGAAAACATACCTTTTCTTATATATTAAACCAAACTAATCTTATATAAATGTGTTATGCAGTACAATAAAACTGCTAATAACTGGAGTGAGTTTATTTAATTAAAGGTAAAAATAAACGGCAAAATGAAAACTGGTAAATACAGGTCAAAATTACTAGCTAGATCTTTAGATGGATCTCCAACAATACCTGAATTAAATATCTAGCATCAGTTGTCTCAACTATCTTACCTGGTAAAAATGTCTTTTTAGGGAGGAAAATTGTCTAACTTTTCCACGTATGTGATGCAAGATAAATTATATATTCTTTTAAATTTGACATCTTTAGAAAGTCTGTTAAAATAAATATTTAATTTACAGGTTAAATATACTCAAGGAGGCCTTGAGAACCTTGAGCTCTCCCGAAAATATTTTGCACAGGCATTAAAACTGAATAACCGAAACATGAGAGCATTGTTTGGTCTTTACATGGTAAGTCCAGAGAGCACTGTATTTTTGTTAAAAATGATTCGCCTTGTTATTTAAATTTTGAAAATGAAGGTAGAAAAGTTGACCTTTTCCAAACTTACTAATAAAAAAGAAGAAAGATTTTCAAGGTCTACTGTGAAAAAGCCTGGATTGGCTCAGTTCTTCTCTACTAATATGTAAATTTACGTAGCATTAGCAGCATTTATATTTTCTATCCATTTTGCTATAGAATTGTGGTGATATCATAATCACACTATAAAATTTAAAGTGGAACTCTTAAGAGTTACATTTGTTAATTTATTCTACAATACAGTTTATGCAGATTTTCTTTAAATTAGTTTGCCTTAAACTAATCTGTTGGAAAGATGACTTTGAATAGCATGTCTTTTCAGCTACGAAACAGCTAACCTATTTCTCATGAATATGTCTTCTCTTCAAAAAAACATAAATACTGTTGCATTGTCCTATTCCATTGTAGTAATACTGTGGATATAAACAGTGAAACAGATGCTCATATTTGTGATGTTGTTTACAGGTACTTCTTGACTTACCATCATAATTGGAACCAGAAATCTTTCATTATGGTCATAAGTCAAGGAACTCATGTGATCCAAAGTAATGTGGTTGATGCTTTTAGCCCTTGTGAACCATCTAGAGTCAATAGGCAAGTGAGCAGCCGTATAATAAATAAATACCTTTCTTTTAGGTTTTTCCATGATATAGGGGACTTGTTTTCAAACTACAAATTCAAAGAAATTCAGAAACTAGCTTTTTGTATTTTGATGGACAAATCTGCCATATTTCTGATTTTTTTTCAACAGAATCAAAGTACTTATTTATTCTGAATTCTGATTTTAAAAGTATTAGTTTTTTATCATAGCTGATAGGACAAGGTACATTTGGTTACACATTTTCACTGTAATGGTTAACCATTTTCCATATGTATAGTACATTTTAGTTTAATTGTCAAAGATTGCTTCCTAATTTGTTTCCTGTTGTATTTCTAGTCTGCCAGCCATATTGCCTCCAATTCCAAGGCCAGTGCAAAAGTTAAAAAGGATAATATGAAATATGCTAGTTGGGCTGCAAACCAAATCAATAGAGCTTACCAGGTGAGTGTTTTGTTAAACTCAATAATATTTTTTATATTAGTTTTTAAAGTTTGATGGTCCAGAAAAGGAAATGATCATAAAAAACCACTTGCATGCATATTGAGGTGATGACCTATATAATGCAGAGTTTTTAAAAACCATTCTTGAGGAATCATGAATACACAATAGAAATTATTTAATTTTTGAATATGTGAATGTTATTTTGCTATCATAAGGACATACTGAACAGGTACAAAATATCCATCCTACCTATTTTTAAAGTTTTTTATCCCAGCGTTGCATCATTAGAAATCATTTTCCCCATTTTATGAGACACAAAGCTATCTGCTAACTGTTAGTGTCTTTTATTAAATGCTTCTAATAGGCTTTGCTAGTTTATTTGTTACTGTATTTACTGTATTTATCTTTGGTCTTTTGTCGTGGGAGTGTATCCCAATCCTATTTACACCAATTCTGTAGGCAGAGAGACAATGAACTGGTCCAAAATTTATCCAGCGAGCTCCCCAGTTCAGTCCATTGCAGTGATGTATTTTTGTCTTAGAACCCTGACTAGAATCTTTGATTAATTAGGTTTGGTTATTTGTAAATGGAAAATTATTAAGACCATATATTATGAACAAATACCTAACAATGGATCCAAGCATTCAAAATGACACTTCTATACATGGAAACCACCAGATGGAGTACATAAAAATCAAATTGCCTATATTATTGTTAAAAGAAGACAAAGGAACTCAGTTATATTATCAAAGGCATGGCCAGGTGCTGACTGTGGAACAGATTACGAACTGTTTAGATGCAGTTTCCAAGTTAAGCTAAAGAAGAAAGCCAGTCAGTTTCCACAATATGATCTTGAACATATGCCCACATTTTCAAGAAGAACATTGGGAATTGCTTTGAAGTCCTGAAACTCACTAATAGAAAATTGGAGGAATGATGGAATGAGCTTAAAAAAGCTGCATGGGATAAATGTGAAAATAAACTGCCATTAAGGAAGGAAGGGGTGGGGGTGGGGGTGCTGACTGGATATAAGAACGAACTGTGGAAAATTGCAAAGAAGAGTAGACAAGAAAGAGAAAAACCTCAGAAAAGGACTTAAATAATTTCAAATAGTTCTTAGAAGAGACAAGAACTGTTACTATAACAACATCTGTAAAGGCACTGATGATACTGATAGAAAAAAATATTTGAAGATGGAAACAGACCTAGAAATAAGGAAAGTCTTTCTAAAGAACTCTGAACTCAGAAGGGGTTTGCAATTTGAATTGGTATAGCAAAGCACACTAATGGATAGATAGTAAGCAATTCAAAGGAGATTAAATAAAGGTGAAAGCAATGTACTGTAATACTGTACAGTAGATATGTCAATATCCAAAATATATTAGAAGATGTTCCATTCTTATAAGAATCTCTGGTACTAATAGTTAAAGTTAGATCAACACTGCAGTTATTACCACTACCCATAGAAATATGGCAATCAACAGAAGAACCAGTAAAAGTTTTAAACAAGCTATGTTAGCAAATCTGGAGAACAAAAGACTGGCCAATAAATTGAAGAAAGTCAATTTACATTCAAATGCCAAAAAAATAGACTTAATGGGGTGTGCAAACTATTGTACAATATTTTTAACTTCACAGGCTAGGTTAGTATCATCCAACACAGATTACAGCAGATTATAGAAAAAGATATTCAAGTTGATCTTAGAAAAGCTGGAGGAAAACATGGAATTGTTGCAGGTTGGATTGAGAAAGCCCAACGACACCAAAAAGAAGTCACTGTGTGTGCTTCATTGATTATCAAAAGGCATTCAATTGTGTAAATCAGTCTATAAAAATTGATCACAAAAATGGGAATACCAGAATATCTCATTGTCATCAAGAGCAATTTATATACAGGCCAGTAAGCCATAGTAAGGACAGAACATGGGGAAACAGTCTGGCTTCAGGTTAGCAAAGGAATATAAAAAATTTGTGTACTCCCCCCTTATTTATTCAGTTTATTTTCTGAATGTATATTAAAAAAAAACTGGATTGGAAGAAGATGATTGTTGAGGTAATTCCCCGCTAGGAGAATGAGCGCACACAGGGAGACATAGTGGGAATGGTGAAGAATAACACCCACACATGACACAGATATACTGTATAGTAAAATGTAGGTTTTTACTTCCAATAAACGTTTAAGCAAAGTCCAAACAAGCAGTCCAAGTCATTCACAGTTAAAGCAGTCAGTTTTCAGTCCAAGGATAATCCAAATAACAAAGTCCAGTATCAAAAACAGTTCAGTAACAGACTTACATCAAATCCAAGAAGAACTATGATCAGTCAATAGTCAATAAGGAACAGCAACACTCTCCAGAAAAAGACAACAGAACAACCCAGGTTTCTGGCTCCAACTTAAGGCCATTTGAGGAACCATACCCAATTACAGTTTTAGCATTCTCTTAAAGAGACAGTATTAAAATATCTATCCTGGTTTATATATTTTCCAACTCAACTAACTGTTAGGTGACTTACATTCCTAACAATGATGATGGTTTTATAATTGGAAAATGAAACAGTGATCTACATCAAGTTCAGTCAAAACTGAAGAAGCTTCTTGGGTGAGAAATGAAATATCTTTAGGCAAAAACAAAGAAAGTCCCGTTGCCTTTTGAAAAAGCACCTTTGGGACCTCAGACTTGGAAAGTATGTTCCAATGACGTAATGTGTTTATATTTACCAAGATCAGAATTGTGTGAGCTATGATATTTTCTATAACACTCAGTGGAAGCGAAGATTGGACTTTAAAGAAGTAGGATAGGAAGAGTATTGATGCCTTTGAATTTTCATGTTGGTAAAGACTTCTAAGAATTCTGTGGATAGACAAAAATAAATAAATCAGTGGTTCATTGAACAAATCAATCCAGAGGTCTCACTCCAGACCCAAATGATCAGGCTCAAATTATATACTTTAAAGGCATTATATGAAGACAAAGTTCTCTGGAGAAGACTCTAATCCTGAGAAAGGGTAAAGACAGAGAAGAAGAGAACAAGCAACAAAATAAATGAATGCAGGGACCGATTGTCATGGAGAAAATCTTTATGGTAATTGGCAATTGACAACAACTTGTTAGCACATAATAAATTGTGAATAATGCATGGAATGCTTGTTTGATAGATTTGTAATGCTACCTAAGCTGTTGAGCAACTGAAAAAGATTACAGTCCAGCATTTTTTGTTTTAAGAGCCTTAGCACCAGTATTTTTGCACTCTGTACACAGTATTTCTTCATACTGAGCCTCAGTGGCCCAGTGATTAGAGTGCAGTACTGCAGGCTACTTCTGCTGCCTGCCGGCTGTCTGCAATTTGGCAGTTCAAATCTCACCAGGCTCAGGGTTGACTCAGCCTTCCATCTTTCTCAGGTGGGTAAAATGAGGAGCCAAAATTGTTGGGCCAATATGCTGATTCTATAAACTGCTTAGAGAGGGCTGTAACACACTGTAAAGCAGTACATAAGTCTAAGTGTTATTGCTAATGCTATATTGCTATAAATATCTTCAGTGGTTGGCATTGTTATATCATGTACTATAGCTACAGTTTAGTTAGAAAGATAAGAATGCCATCATTTATAAAATAGCCTATTTTGCTTTGGGCTAATTGGTTCATTGTTAATCATTGACAATGGATGCTCCGATTTTATGTTAATAAAGGTTAAATGCTAAGCACACAATTTCATAATATGCAATTTTCTTAGTGATAAAAGGTATTTATATGGAACTGACTTTAAAATAATATCAGCAATTTGCAAACCTGCTGCAAAAATTCAGTTCTGTAAAGTTAGATTACTAAGAGTGCCTTTAACTCAGCAATAAAAATGCAATTTATATTTTATAACTTTATGGTCCAGTTCCAAACTATTGGGAAGTTATGTTGGAAGTGAATCAAAATTATTGTTAACTGATTCCTCTTTCAGTTGATATTTAGCAGAATAGTTGCATTGTTACTCAACTAAAATATACTTAAAACAAATGTCAGCATTTCTTTGTGACTTCATGTATTTATTGATATATTGCATACTTCAGCTGTATTTTAACTGAAAAATGACAGATACCATATCTAGCTAAAAACTGCAAGGGGAATTTAAATAGGTGGGATAAAATTACATAAATGAGAAATTGGCCTGAATATCAAGTTTACACCCTACCCTTATAAAAGATGCCATTAAAAATCTGCTGAATAAATACCAAACTTTGCTTGACCTGAGTACACCATGTGGTTTGCCTTGTCTATATGCATTTAAAGCTACTAAAAACCTAAAAACCCAGCAAATGGACTGAAAATGTAGGTCTTGTTCCTTTGAAACATCTCTGTTGCTAAAGGTTGCCACCTTGTGAGCAGAGCAAAGAAGTATTCATGTTCGCCCCCTTTTTTAAGTAAGGGGGATAGAACAAGAACTGAAGTTTGAAGGAAATAAATCTAATAGGTTAGATTTGTCATATCTTGAATCATTTGTGTATGCACAGAAAAATGGTGTAGTGGTGAAAGCATCAAGATAGAAACTGGGAGGCCATGAGTTCTAGCCACACCTTAGACCAGGGATCTGCAACCTTGGCAACTTCAAGACTTGTGGATTCAACTCCCAGAATTCTTGTTGGAGTCCAAAAGTCTTAAAGTTGCCAAGGTTGGAAGCTCCTGTCTTGGACAGCCAGGTAACCAGTAAGCAGTGATCAGCTGTAGGAAGGAGACCACTTCTGAGAAACCTTGCCAACAAAACTGCAGCGATTTTTCCATACAGCTGCCAGGATTCAAAAATTAACTTGATTGCACAAAAAATTGTAATAGACGAGTCTCATCATTACATTAGAGCAAAACTTATATAATTAAGTGACTTGAATATTGTCTCAGCACCACTAAAACAGGATGAGATGTTGGAATACCTAAATCTATTTTTTTATTTTTATTTTGCTTTCTATAACTACTTTGTGACTTTGTTAACCATAAAATAAAAATAATAAAATAGATTTAGGTATTCCAACATATCATCCTATTTTAGTGGTGCTATGACAATATTAATGTCACTTAATTATATAAATGTTTTGCTCTAATGAGACTCGTCTATTACAGTTTTTAATTATAAGAACATTTTTTTATCCTTCACTGTATTAATTTATTAATACATACATACAAATTTATGTTTATAATTTTTCATTGCTTTTTCTGTTGAACCAATTACCATATCTTTCCATAAAAATAATGATTTTTGAACAGTGCGTGTTTGAATAATCCGATCATTTCATAGGATTTCTTAACTGCACTAATCAAGACCTACCTGTACATTATAAGATATAGGGAGTCTTCAGCTTGCAATCGGAATAGGGACTGGAAAATTCACCAGTAAGCTGTACAGACACAGGGCGACACATCATGGGACCATATTCAGTTTTACTATCTTTTTCAATTGGTCATGAAGTGAGACATCATATAGTTACAACCTTCTACCTCCTTCCAGCTTCCTTATTGACTTGTTGGAAGCTTCTCTGGGAAGGTCAGAAATGATGTTCATATTACCAATAGATACTGCAATTGACAATAATCCAGGCTGATGGCTAAGCACTGAGTGTGACCATGGGGATTCTGCAATGATCATAAGCGTGAGGGCCAGTTTTAAGTCACTTCTTTCCAGCACCTCATAACTGCAAATAGTCACCAGACAAATGTTTGAAATGAGCCACTATCTTTGGTAAGGCAATATAATCTTTCTTACAGTACCAATTGCTGTAAGGTGAGCAGACAGTATCCCTTTACCCTCAAATCTTGCTTGTTGGCTTCTTAAAATACTTTATTAGTTATTGCATAGTAGAATGTTGGATTATATAACCCTTGATCAGCTCTTACAGGATTACTCTTACACTCATGAAGAGTTGATAATGATGGGCTGTTTTGCCAATGTTTCCTGTAATTTAATGAGATGTCAGAGCATTCTCAGATGTGTCTTTGTAGCCATATGGTATAGATTTAAAGCACACACAAACATCTCACCTAAAGAGCATGGCAAATTAGAGAATTTATATAATTTAGAGGCATGTCTTCACCAGCCGTATATACCAGTGGAACTGTATGAGAGAAAATGTATAGTTACATTGGTGTAACAACACTGAAATATATCTGTGTAACTTATACTCTCTGTGTCTGTTTTAAAGCACCAAAGTAAAATGTAGTGTATTGTTTCAGTCATGCCAATGCATATCAGTGGAGCTTTTTAATACTTCATATTTGTTTTAATGTATTTAAAGTTAGAATAAATCCAAGATTTCTGAATGCATTTTAGCAATCAGCTTAATTTTCCCTAAAACTGAAATGCACAGGATCTAGTCAATTTCTGAAGAGAGTAGGGGGGGCTATTCCAACGTAACCTTGTGGTTTCCTTTTATTTTCTTTGAAATCTTAGGCTATAGAATCAATATTTCTCAAGTTTAAAAAATATTCAGAAGGTCAAAAGCGGGTTAATAGTTTAATTTTGTTTCAAATGTAATATTACCTTTTGTCAATGGTTCATGAGAAGTTTAATAAATTAATTATGAGAAAACAAACATACCAATCAGACAGTCTGTTATTCAGGGCAACATTAATTAAAGAGAAAAAGTATATATATTAAATATACTTAATACTCTGATGATGTCAGCAGAGGCTGACAAAAGCTTAATAAGTATAATAAATATAATTTTAGTTCCGGAGATCACAAGATGTCTGTTTCTTCACATACATACATACATACATACATACATACATACATACATACTGTATACACATATACACACGGACAGACAGACAGACAAAATAAAATTCATTCATACGCAGAAAATTGAGAGAGTCAAGTATGAATGTTATGATTCTTTTTTTGCTGACGCGCTCCTCACCTTTTGTAATCCTTTTAAAATGTTCAAACATTTTTAAATGTAAAGCTTAAAATTTTATTCCTTTATAATCAAATTTTGCTGAAGTGTATTTCAAATGAATTCATTAATAAGTGTTTGTAATTAATGCAACCCAGGGCTACCTTTGACTGTTGTACTTTATTTTCAATTTTTTTTAAAGATACTTTTTTGCTTTTGTTTTGCATAGTATGCTGGCCGCAGTAAGAAAGAAAACAAGTATTCATTGAAAGCTGTAGAAGACATGTTGGAGGCCCTACAGATCACTCAGTCATAAAGCTTAAGAGGGATGACCAGTGTGATAGATCTTCTTCTCCGAGCTCTGTAACTGAAATTCTGTCCTCACAAACTTAAAAGTTTATTTTGAATGCCTCATTATGTTAACAGTGGTTTCATGTCAGTAAAAGTTGCTACAGTACCTTGAATGATATGTTTTATAAAAAAATATAAGATTTCTATTTATTGTTTCTATGATGAAAAGTCACCGCAGTTAATAAAAATAGTAAATTCTATTGAACTTCAGTCTCTTCAGACCTTGTAGAGCAAATGTTTAAGCCATAACTTGATGTAAAAATAAATTAAGTGATAATGCAGGATTATTTATTGCACTTGTGGAAGTCTACAAGACTTGTGCAAAATAGAAATTGCCTATGGAACGTGAACTATGGATCAGACTTAAAAGTTCACCACAATGATCAAGTAATATTTACCTGGATATTTAGTTTTGCACAATACCATTAGTATGACTGCAGTACTGATTTATAAAATGGTAGAAAAATGGTAAGTGCTTTGAACATTATGTATTAAGTACCACCTTTAAGTGAAGCCTTATTGATGGAGTTACTTTCATGCTGCTGATTCTAATCTACCTGAAACAGCTCCTCCAATTTTTTAAATATAAAAATAATTTATTAAGCTTGCATGCCATCCAACTCACAAGAATAAAAAAAAATTGCTATTAAAACTAATTAAAGATAAAAGATGGCAAGAACAAAATAGAATTCAGTTATGCTGAACTGGCTTAAGTAGGAAATTTGCCAGCTGATTCTCTTCAAAATTGACCAGTTCTAGAGATTTTATTATGCTTCTCTCTGAAAATATATAGAAAAATAAACTCAGACATTGAATTTCTTCCATGGCCTTACTAATGGATTCCTACTTTACAACCTATTGTGTTTATTATTGATTCTGTTGCTGGCCTTGCAGTGCATAAGGGCATTAGGGGGAATAAATAATGCTGCTTTTCATTTGGAACTTTTGAAATAATGTGAAAAAGCATTTGTTTCCTTTCAGATTTTCTGAATTTGTGCATAACTTAAATATATTTTCTATGCAGGGAGAAAAAGGGAGTTATATACAATATGCTGGTGTGGAAAAGTAATCACTGCCTTAAATTCATAACTATTTAGCTGCAATAACTACAACCACCCTTTTCTTATAACTTGCTTGCTGCACAGGAATTTTTGCCCATTTCTCCACAGCAAACAGCTTTACTTCATTTTTAAAAATGCCTTTGCTTTCACCACATTCTTTGTCCAAATGCCAATTTCCATGCAATAGGAACGTAGTTCAAAAGAATGAGCATCTGAGAGCGTCTCAAAATTGAGTTATCTCAAAATTGAGTTAATACACATAATAAATTCCAAAATGGATCTGTTGTGGGACATGGCAGGCAGCTGTCTAAATGGTATAGCTGCATTGCATCTCTTAACTTGATGATTCTGTCACTCAAGTCTTTCCTATGAAAATCCAGTGAATATGAAATGCTATTTTTGATTGAATAAATCTAAGATGCATTGAAGTGTTTGATACTGAATACCAGCATGTGATATGAGAATCTAGGCAAAGTCTTTATTCCATTCAATCAGTGTATTCATGTATTCATTACAACATAATTGATCAAAAGTAATTATGGGATGCTTGCTTGAAAGTTCCAAGCTATGTATTTCAAAGGCTGGAATTGGAACTCATCTCGAAATACAATTTTTTAAAAAAGGATTATTGTTTCATAGGGCCATTAAGTCATAAAAAATATTCAACATATCCCAGGGTCTGGAGGTGAATTATTGTCAAGGTTATTGACATTTCCAAGTATGTTAAAGGACAACAGTTTCTTTATCTATGTCAGATGAAGTTCATCTTCCAAGCTGTATTCAAATTGAAGGGTCAAAAGTTGTGTTTAAATTATAGTATATTTTAATTTTTTTCCAGCTTTAGATGTAAACAAAGCTTGGATTAATAATAGGTATTAGAGTATGCATTTTAAACTTTTACTGTATCCATATTTCTTTGAGAACAAATGATATGGGTTGTTTCTTTAAAAAAAATGGATTAGAAATCAATTTGATATTTACATTAAAACACATTAATTTTAATTAATTACAAGTAGTCCTTGTTTAGTGACTGACTCATTTAATGATGATTTCCAGTAATAATGACAAAGTAACTCTGAGACAAGTTCTTGCACATACCCTCTGAGGGAGATGGGCAGTTAAGAAGTATGAAATATAAATTGAAAAAAATATGACTTCCGCAGGTCTAAAAGCAAACTGAAATCAAATGATAAGTACAGGTGTGGCTTTACTTAGAGAGCACTTCCCTTAGTTGACGGTTCCAATTGTGCTTGCTAAATAAGGGCAAACATTTGTTCTTCAAATGTACTTTTCCAGGATTAATTAATACAATATAAGTGATGTGCTATTAATGGCAGATTTTAACTGCAAAAGTGCATTAAGACTGTTCCTTGTTAAATGATTTGTCTCATGACACCCTTTCTAAATTCTCTGTGTTGAGCTGAGGTTGTTATCACATCAGATTTTGGCACATGTAGGGGGATAGGAAAACTGCTTCAGAAAACTAATCACCAGTTAAATAAGTGCATTCTATATTCCACTCCCCATCTCTTTTCCTATTTAAATCACATAGTTTTGAGCATTTTGCTTTTTGAAGCATGTTTCATTTGGCCCTGACTTCATGATGAGGGCTAACTAAGGAAGGGAGAGGACTGTAATGATGCATTGGCAAGATTTTAAGTTATGACATAAATAATTTTTTAAAAAGGTATTTTCTGGCAGTATAAGGGGCAAGCCAGATTTTCTTGCTGGGTAGAAGTCTACAGAGTTAATTTTATCCAATAGATTTGTCCTGCACATAATCAGTATGCAGCTTGAATGCACGTATATATTAATAAATAAAAATTACTGAATCAATGTGGGGTGACATTAGCATTCTTTTTTTTTTTGTAAATTTTATTTGAGTTTTCACAAAAAAAATAAATACAAATAAAACATCTTTTTTGAAAGTAGCGTAATCCCAGGTTACATTTCTTCGTACAGACACAAATTCAAGTTCATGCTCATTTTTATATTCTATTCCATATCTTATTACTATTTTACATTTTCTGCATAGCTTCTCCCCTCTTAATTTTCTCACTTTTATTTTAATTATCTCATCTCATCTCAATTCAAATCATTATATTTGTATTTTTTGTCTGTCCTGTTTCAATTATCTATTATCTTTTCTCATTAAACAAAATGTCTCCTGTAGTTACTGATTGGAGTAGGACGCCTTTATATCTTTTAAGTTTATCCATTTAACTCTTATTTAGGCTTCGATATATACCCTAAAGTTATAACATTCAATATAATACATAACTTCCATTCGGATTCTGCTTGGTACATTCTTAAAATACACACTATATTCCTGAAAAAAGAAAAAATTATAAATGTATGTAATTAAAACAACACATTCCATTCCAATTCAATTCTACCATTAATATTAATATTCATTAAAGTCTTAACTTCTTTAACATTACTTTTCAATTAAATATCATACTTCTATGGGAACAATTATAAGCTTTCCATAATTAATTCCCCCCCTCTTCACTTATATTTTATAAAACATTAACTAATTAAAATGTTCCCGTTCCTTCCTAATTCAATTTTCTCATTTATTTTATTTCACTTATTTTATTAACAAACATTTCACTAAATTACACTAACTATTTTATCCCTCATTTTAGTCATACATTGTTTCCAATTTTCTAAAGTTATTTCTGTTACTAATGTAACAGTACAATCTTATTATGTACCTTTACAGAATCCCTTTTTCAGTTAGACTTTCACCCATTATCTCTAAATAGGTCCTGTTTCTCTATATCTTGCTCTGGTCCTTTGTAACTTCTTTTTCTTTCCTTCTTCCCTCTCTTCTTCTCTCTCCCCTTTTTACCCCCTTGTCTCTCTACCTCTATTTCTCTCTTCTATATTCCCCCTTTCTGTTGCTTTCCAGTATTATACTTATTTTTCAAATTATTTTTCTCTGCTTTGGTTGTTTTTTTAAATCTTAAATTCTACATTCTCTTTCCCCCCTTTCCTTTTTCTCCCCACATAAAATTGCTTGTTCATTAAAGATGGCTTCTTCTTTGTCCCAGTCTTCTTGTTTTGCAGACGGTTCTTGTTATTTCTCATAGTTCCAAATCTCCATTTCTAAGAATTGAAAAACGAAGCCAAAAGAACCCTTCCCTTCTTATGCATCTTCTTTGTACTTTTTAAGTTCCATTTTCAATTCATTCAGAAGTGCCATTGTATAAATTTTTAAACAACCACCTGATTAATTTTAGTCATTCAAATGTAATAACCAAGAATCCAAAGATCACCAAATAATCCAAATACACGCAAGCTGTTTCTTTTTGCTCTTTTTTTTCACTTTCTCTTGGGGTTACTGTTTAGTTAAAAATTTTCAGTTAAAATGTATCTTTTAGAAGTCTTGTTGAAGTTTTACTGTAGATTCTTTTTAATTCCAGGCAGTCTCCTCCGTCTTCCAGATCCTGCCCTTATTTTTCTCTCCCTTCCTGCTTATAAAAAAAAAAAAATTAGTGTCCAGAAATCTTTATTATCCCTTTGGCATTTTATTTTATTTTCAGCTTAATTGCCTATTGATGTCAAAGCGGATTTTTCCGATTTCTTATTTAAGTCTCTTAGTTGTCAGTATAGGGAAGGACAGAAGAAAAAAAAAGCCAAACCTTTCTCTTTTCACTTTCCTTCGCTGCTTCTGACTCTTCTTTGGGAGCGATGTTATTTTTTTTGTAAGTTTAAATTCCAAGATACCTTAGTTGTTGCTTTTACAATTTAACTCGGTCAGCAAAAAAAACTTTCACTTCTTATCTTCCTCCTGTACATTCTTTTCCAGTTGAGTTCTTCTTTGTGGTGGCCATTTCTGACCACCGCTGCAACTGCCTTCGGGAAAGGGAGTAATGGCCAGCTGAGGAGGAGAGAGGCGGCTCTCCTCAACCCTGCTGGCGGTCTCCCCCCTCTTCACCACCCTTTAGCCCTGAAACCAGCCAGCTTGGGGTGCTCCAGCAGCGAGCCCAGACCGAAACCGTGCACAGTCGCGGATTTCTGTCTATCGCCAAAGAAACTTCAAACCGGAAGGACATTGGCATTCTGTATGATCTGCCTTTTACACTCAGATTTTTGGATAAAGCTCTCATTGGTTAAGCATTCATTAGTTTGCTTCAAT